CTCTTTAATTAATAATTTAAATATGTTTATCTCTAGCTTTGTTTATTCTGCGAATAATCTTACTACAGTTAATATCATGAGATATATTTAAAAAAATATAACGAGATTCTCCACTCCAACAACACTAACAAGAGCAAAATATATAGTATCCTCTGCGAGTGTTTTAAAAATAGATCTGATACCAAAATGTTCACATTTTCATATAGATTTAACTGATTTACCATACTATTTATTATTATATTATATATTTTGCTATAATGCAATTTTCGTTTGAAAAGTATGCCTTGCAAAGCGATATGATATATTATGCAAGAACTATTGAGATACTTTTCTACAGGGCGATCCAAGAACAACACATTTAGCAATTACAGTTCGCAACTAGTCAAATACTCCAATTCCAGCGATTCCAGATCGATGAGTGCTACGAGCTAGTTGGGGTCTCTTTAATTAGAATATGACCGCAGCCAGCAGAGAGAGAGCAGCATCGGCAACGACCATTAAATGTGTCAACGACTGCTCGTAAATTTGATGAATGTGTATCTGTATCTGAATCTGCATCTGTATCTGTATCTGTGTCTGTATCTGTGTCTGTGTCTGTACAGCTGGGTATTTGATGGATTGATTGATATATATGCTGGTCCAACCCTCAATAGCATCAGCCCAACTGTCGCACTGTGTGCGCGTGTGTAATCAAATATCAGTCAAGCGGTCAGCCGCAGCAGCAGCAACAGGCTGCAACAGTTTGCGCCGTCTGCAACTTTGAGGCTGAGATTGCGTGTGGGCCAAAGACTCATAAATGTGTCGGCTAATGGCCGAGCAAATGGATTTTTTATTATTTTCTGTGTGTGTGTGTGTGTGTGTGTACTAGGCACAAAACCCAATAACTGTTCAAAGACAATTTGGCATTGAGTGCGGCAAGCGTTTTGGGTTCAGATACAATATACAAAAGGTTGGTCAATTATGCGCACATATGGCCAAGAGGCCAGCAGCTTGTCCTGATCGGTGACTAAGCCGACAACGGATCTTTGGGCTCATTACACATGCTTGTCTCCCTCCCTCCCTCTCTCTCTCTGTCTCTCTCTCTGTCTGTGTGTGAGCACTGTATGTGTGTGCTGGTGTTTATGTATCTCATAGATACATTGTCGGCATCATTTTGCTTTGCTATAAATACCAATCTAGTGCTATTTCTATACAAAACGGCATTTATTTAGTAGCTCTCTGTATGTATATGTATCTGTGTGTGTAGAAGTATATAACTGTGTGCCATTTGTGCTTTGGCGTTTTGCATATCTACAAATGTATCTGCGTAGCTGCGTAGCTGCGCATATCTATTTGATTTTTGCATTTGTTGTTAGTCTTGCTCTGTGGCGCTATTTCTGTATCCTCAACCGATACACACACACACACACACACCGCGCATTGTATTTGCATACGTGAGAGTAAGTTGAGAAGTCCATCAAAGTCGACTAAAGCATGCGCTGCAAATGTATCTCATAGACACGCGCGCTATGCGAGTGCCAATGTAATGCATGCAGAACTGCAGCAATCTTGAATGCATTCCGGCAACTCAACCATTTCCAATTATTATCGAAAAAATGTGTTTCGCCTTTTTCCTACATAGCTGCTTATGAAAAACCAAATTTTCGAGCATATGTTTATTTATTTATTTATTATGCGTTCGACTTTTAATAGGCTCGTTAAAGAGATTTGCACAAAAAGAAAAGAGAAAAATATAAATAAATAATGAAGAAAATGGAAAGAAACGTAGCGGAGCAGAAGGAAGTAAAAATCAAAAGGAAAGGAACGTGCGTAGCGATTTAGAAAATAGGTCAAATCTATTTCGGTCCGCACATAAAAATAAAATAAAACAAAAGCAAAAACAATAAAAATAAAAATAATGAAAAACGGCAAACGGCAAACCGTTGCTTTCTCAGCTTTCCTGTTGGCTTTACTGCCTTCTCTTTTTTTTCACTTTTTTTTGTATCTCTTTCTTTCTTTGGCTCCTTAGTATTTGTTGGCACCTTTGTTGTGGAAAATTTTTTGGCGCGCTGATCTCATGGCAACATCGGAATATCTAAACGTTGTTGCCAGGTCGCCGACGCTGACGCTGAATCCAAAATTGTATATTTTCTATTTCAAATTGGCTCAGATACAGCAGCAGCAGCCAGCAGCCAGCAGCCAGCAGAGTATAAGCCAACAGTTCCGCCATATTTACAGAGACCTCAACCTCAGCAAATCTGATTCGCCGAAATACCCAACTCAAATGCAAATCTGAAAATATCCTTGATTTATTTTGCAATTTCCATGATAAACCCTTCAAACGCGATGTTGGACCACTTAGATACTTATTTTGGAAGCGAAGGCTCAGCGGCTGTGCGTCAATATGATTAATGATCCCAACTTTTTACCGGCAAAAATAAGAGTAACAACAACAGATGTAAGAAATGTAAATCAAATATGGTTTATTGGTTTAAGAAGGGTGATTTTTTGTAATTTGGTAACTCTCCCCAAATTGAATGTTTATATACAAATTTGGAAATTCCCTAATGGAAAAATAAAGTAAAGCTGAACTTAACTACAACAAAAAATTAATTAATTAATTGATTATCTTGATCGAGCTGGCTGAGTTATATAACCAAGCGAGCAAGGCCAATTCGGCAAGAGGAGTCCGTTCACTAAACAGACAAGTTTCGGGCTCCGTTTCAACTCGTATCTAACAAATATTTAAACAAAGTGTTGAAAGAAAACTACACAATAATAATAATTAATAATAATACATCATTGATAATGGTCCATATAAATACACTTTCAATTTTTAACTAATTTTCCTTTAAGGAATTGAATAAATTGACGAGTTGACTTTAATAAATGTTTGGGCAAACAGTTGCGACTGAATTGGTTTGCTTTCATTTACAGCAGTGCAATCAATGCCTCAATGCATACAGGATATGCTTTCAGGCCAAATTCCACTTGTCATCCTGTCCGCTCCGTGTGTGTGTGTGTGTGTGTGTGTGTGTGTGTGTGTGTGTGTGTTGACAAATGTTTAGCTCACAATTGAAATACACTTTGACGCTGGCCATGACATATGCATGGTTGTATATGTGTACACTGCGAACTATATATGTATATATATATATATATATAAGGAACTCTGCTTGTCGGCCCATCTGTCAGCAGGGCACAGAGCATCACCTGCGTGCATCGTCCTCTTTTCGACCGTGTGACAAATCGCATGAGAACTTTAGCTGGAAAATTGTCAAATTCTTATTCTCTTTTATTGAAAAGAAAAGAGATGCCGAAAAGGGCTTTATACAATTTTCTGTTGACTAATTGCAATCATTTAGTTTTCTTTGTGTTTTCTGAAATTATTTATATTTCTCAAATACTAAGCTCAACTCAAAGTGAAGAACATTGCAATTGGTGTAAATCATTTTCTATTGACTTGGCTGATATTAATAGCCAACTAGGTATTTCTTACAACAACAAACAGATTAGGAAATGTCCTGAAATATCCTTTATATGGTCGGACTTCCCCACAACTTAATAATTTTTTCTTTCCTTCTTTATTTATTTCCCACTGAGCTCTCAATTGTTATTAGTATTTTGGAGAAAGTTGCTCTCGAGCATTTAGCATTCATCTTATCTGCATCTTCTCACATAAAGTTATCAAAAGATGCACAGTTGCAGTTGCAGTTGCAGTTGCAATGCTTCCTGGAATTGTCTTAATTTTTGGCTGGCTTATCAGCCTTGGGATTTTATGGCCAGAAATGTCATAAAAACTGAGCATCCATAAAAATGAGGTACTGCAGCGTGAAACAAAATAATATTCTCCCAAATGCACAATGGCAATGGAAATACACTGACCAAAGAAATTGGGTGTTTCTGGTAATGTGCAAAATAGCATCTGATAGAATCCAATAATGCTCAAGACAAAAATCAATAATAAGTAAATAAAATACAAGGCAAATGTAGTCTGAAACTGATTAGAAGCGATGTCTCCAACCGATAGAAATATTGTTTATTACATAGATTAATAGAGCCAAGGAAGCCTTCAATAATAATCGAAAAATAATAAATAAAATAATCTTGTTATGCTTGGTAGACTTGTATCGTAGCTTTCTTTTCGCGCAGTGTAGTTGCACAGCCAGCAAAAGGGTGCGCACAGGTCGTAAAACTTGGGATCATAGATCCATTGAAGTATCTGTGTGCATACTGGGACAGGGTTGGAGGGAAGGGAAACATCCCGCATGCATTTTAACGAGCCCTGACAACTTCATCGTCTTTATCATTTGGCAACTACATAAATACTTTAGCTGAATGGCGGCAACCTACCTGTTTTCACTTGCAGTGCACCTGCTGCACTCACAATTTATTTGACACAGCATTGCGATTGCTGCGACTATTATTATTATTATTAGTGTATCAAAACAGGCCCATTTCCGAAAGTATATATCTATATATGTGTGTGTGTGTGTGTGTGTGTGTGTGTGTGTTAATTACACACAATGTTAGTGTTGTGACGACCGGGAAATTACCAAACGTATCGCAATGCGGCTGACTAATTGAAGTCCCCCTGCCTTGCCTGCTTCCGATCCGATCCGATCCGATGCCAACCCCACGCTTGGCAGGCACGTAAATGGGGGTTTCTTTTTCTGGACCCCCATTTGGCGCCCCGCCCCCTAGCCCTAGAGCATTTATGATAAATTGGCCCATTTACATGTTTATTTGGTCTTTCAATTTATAATTACATCTTTGAATGGCGAATTCGTCTGACATTAAAAAAACAGAAACAGACTTCAACTGCCAGAAAAAGAAATAATTATTATTATTATTATAATAAATTAGATTACAAAATAAATAATAAAAGAAATATTTGCAAAATTTGTCAAGTGTTATTTTTATTTGTTATTCGTCGCCAATCATTACATTATTTTTAATACTTATTTACACGATTTAATATTTCACTGAATTGTTGCATTCAAATTGAAGACTGAAATTGAATAATTCGCCAGTTTGGACAAAGAGAGCATTAATATGTTCAAAGTGCAATCATTTCAGTTTAGTTGTTCGGAGAACAGGTGTCGCTGCTTCTCCGCATGGAATCTCTGCCCCAGGAGCAACTGCAGCCACTTCTGGCAGCTTTTTGGGGGTTGTACTCCCTGCCACTTTGAGCTCTTTCCCTACATGTTCTTTGTGGTGCTGGGACTGAGCTTTACTGGCGTCTATCGCTGCGTATCCGAAATTGTGCACATTTGCTGTGTGGCCAACTATTCAATTGACATGTGGCGATCCCGCAAGTTCTTCGTCCTGGATATTGAGCTAGTGCGTCAGGCGCGGGTGGTGGGCGCCATTGCCATGTGCTATGCCTGGATGATGATGATCTATGCGCTGATCAACGTGAGTCTGCCAACATATCCAATCCTGTTTTCTGCTGCTAAAGATACTCTTTGTTATTGTTTAGATCCAGCCGGCCTTCATGAGACCGTGGCTGCTGCTAAATGCCATATTGCTGGGAATCGACTCGCTCATTTGCCTGATCGATGTCCTTAAGGGCCGACTGGCATTGTGCTTGGGTGCCATCTATCCAAAGTTGCTGCTGCTCGGTACCATGGCCCTGGTCAACTGCGTCAAGACGGTCTTTCACAACGCCATCGAACAAAATATGGCCAATGAGCTGCGAGTCTTTGGCAAGGAATCCATTTTTGCAAAATACAACTGAACTGAGCTCTCTCTCTTTCTCTCTCTGTTTCTCTCTCTCTCTCTCTCTCTCTCTGCCTCTCTCTCTCTGTATACAACACAATTCAGCACAACTCAAGCTGTGGCACCCTTTGTGTGTCCCATTAAATCGAATGGTTATCATTAAAAAGGTGGAGGCACTACCTAATTGTATCAAACTGACTCCATCTCTCTCTCTCTCTCTCTCTCTCTCACTCAGACTTTCTCTAGTGTGTGGCACATTTAACCTGCTGGTGGCTGTTGCCTGCATTAAGCTCAATTAAGCGGCATGCAGCTTGACTGACATCCTCGTGCGGACCTTAATCAGTACCCATGTGGCAGGTACAGCTTCAGCAACAGCAACAGCAACAGCTACAGGTAGAGCAAGGCCCGTGCCTAGCAAACAAACACCTTGCAACCAAACCAATTCTCAAAACTGCCCTGTCTTAAGCATGTACATAACTGTAGCATGTACGCGGCATGTGTCTGTCTGTGTGTGTGTGTGTGTGTGTGTGTGTGTGTGTGGCTTATTGTAGCCTACGCTCTCAGGTACTTTAACTCTGTCAAACTACTTGCCACATAGCGTACAGCATTTTTGAGAGCTGGGATGATTTTCAGATATGAAATATGTAAGAGAGTTGGGCGGCATTTTGGTTGTTTCTACAAAGTATCTAAGTGTTTATCAGTCGAATTCAATTTATAGCTTACTTATGCAGCTAATATAACTAGCTTAAATAATATTTAACGGAAATAGGAAAATTAGATGGATTTTAAGAGCAACAAAAAAAAAACAAAGCTAAAAATATTCTCAATTTAGTAAAATGTGCATAATAATTGTAATTTAAAGATTTATTAAACAGAAGAAAACAGATAAAACCATGAAGAGCATACAGTATTCGTTGGGTTCGTTCCAAGTTCCGTTCCAAGCTTGTCTGCCCATTTTGAGGAATTGCAGCTGTCCGAGTTGCAAGCTGCAAGCTGCAAGCTTGCTGCCGAAATCTATAAGCAATTAAAATGAAAAGAAAAAAAATGGAAAATGGAAAGAAGAAGAAGCAGAAGAAGAAGAAGAGAAAATGGTAAATTGAAGCATTGCCTGCATGTTTAACAAGAGAGGGTTAAAAGCCGCTGGGCCAGTTATGTGACATTTGCTGATAGCTGACGATTGCAGCAGCAGGGCAGCAGCAGCAGCAACGATTGCCACCTGTACTCGTAGCCAGTGCCACCCCCAAGCCCCGCCCCAGTAACGCCCCGGCCACGCCCCCGCCACAAAAGGCGTTCAACTTGTGCCGGACTTCATTTCCGATTCGTGTTGAATCCGCACATTTTCCACCAGTGCTGCAAAGGAAAGATTTCCCAGTTCCAGAATGAAAAAAATGTACAAATTTGTTTGTTTTGTTTGTGTTTTTGGCTCTTGGCTTCTTCTTGTTTTTATTCACATTTCTTCAGATGCATTCCGGGGCATTTTGGACAACTTATTTAAGCTCTCTATTAACAATAGTGCAATCGGTGCAGGAAGGTATATATAATTTGTATTCCTCTTGTTTACTGGGGTATCTGTGTTAGTTGTATATTATATATACATTATTTTTGTATATAATGTATAGCAAAGTTACACATAAAGGCATATGCATATTGTTTTCTATCAAGTCCTGTATCATTTATAAAACATTCAACGAACATTTATTACCAAATATCGTATTGTAAATATTTACAAAATCTCTTCAGACGTAAATGTATTCCAAATAATTTGTAATTTGTTTATATCTGTATATACATATGCACATACATATACATATATGTATATTATTATTATTATTATTATTTTTCTTACATGTTTATATTTGTGTGTTTTCCTTTTTTAATTATCAATAACTAATTGAAGCCGGGCCAAGTGTATTATATATATATACATATATATATATTAATTATTTATATTACTATTATTAAAGCTGCTGTGTTTTTTCGGCAACAGATCAAAGATCTGTGGCATGCTCCTAGGTATAAGGTATGTATACTGTATACATACATACATACATACATATATTTATATATATTTAATTTTTGTTTTCTTTTTACAATGTGTTGCAATCAGCAATCAGCAAACAACAAAGCGTTTTCAACATTTTCTATGCCTGTTTCTCGGTTTTGTACTCTCGATTTGCATTGCCTTTAGTGTGACCATGTTTATGTATGTATGACTATGCATGCATGCATGTATGTGTGTGTGTTTGTGTGTTTGTGTGTGCTGAAGTGCGCTTCGTATAATGGTCAAGGTTAATGTGTGTAGAAAATCTTCGGAATGGGTCGTCGTACTTAGTCAACTCAAATCGAAATTTAAGCTATAAATTAACAAATTATGTACGACGCCAAACAGTGACTGCAATAAGTATGCACACACACATACATACATATGTGTACTACTACTTATGGAGGCACAATCCAAAATGCGCTTTTAGCAGAGGCGTTAAAATTTATGATTTTAAGACAATTTTGACGACAAATCCACTAAATAAAAATGCAAATAACGAACAAAATTAATGGGCGACGAAACGAACGAAAAAAATCATCAAATGAAACAAAGTAAAACTAAATGAAATTTAATGATTGCAATGCTACAAAGTCCAACCAATCGCGCAGTGATGCTGTGTTTAGCGTACACTCACTGGCCATTTCCTTAAGCAGTGACTCGTGTGCAAAATAAAATTATCAAAAATAAACCGTAAGCTTTTTTGTTCGATTTTTATTCAACATGTTCGTTAATATCAAATAAAACAAATAATAGAAAGAAAGAAAACAGTCTCAGTTAAATTATGCTTGTTGTTTTTTCAAAAATCATTAGATAAATTATTATATATTATTTTATTGTGTTTATATTTTGTGTCACCTTGACTGACAGTCTGAGTAAAGGTTGCGCAGATAGAAAACTCTGATTTTGAGAACACTGAAAATCAATTTAAATAGCGACTGATATTGCCAATTCAGCCGAGCCCAAGCGGCATCACTGACACGCTGTCAAAGCGATCAGCGCAAAAAGCAGTAAAGAATAACAGCAGAGACAAGGGCAACAACACAGACCGGCAAACGAAATCGAGAAACAAAAACAAAGATAAACAAAAAACAAAAACGCAACGGAGCCACAGATCAGCAGAGCAGCAGTGGAGCAGCAACGGAGCGGCGCAGCAGCACTGTCGGGCGCGACCTTCACCCAATAAAACAACTGATCGCGGTCAGAGTGTACAAAATTTGCAGTTAAATACAATTACGCCATTTTTGTCTCTTTCTGCTGCCAGCTTATGTGTGTGTGTGTGTGTGTGTGTGTGTGTGTTTTTGTTTTTATTGTATTTTCTGACAGCTTGCCGGCAACTATTGTGAATGTGTATGCGTATAATATTTGCAACGGTTTATGCTGGCTACTACAGTTAATAGCGCGATACTTAATGCTAAGACAAAACTAGCTTGTTGCTAACTATGTACAACAACATAAAAACCGCATTCTTCGAAAAGGCTTCACATGTATTTACATTAATAATATTAATACACAGTTCGGCAAGCTCCATTATATATATATTATATATATAAAGTATGCATAGTAAAAAACGAGAGAAATAATTGCACTAGCAGCAGCAACAAATAAAAAATGACAAACATGCATGCTAAAGTCGAGAGAGAGCCCGACTAGGAGATACCCTAAATCGAAGACGTTACCAATCATAATATCGCACGCTTTTTAGATATTCAAGCCAACTCGTTGATCAATATTATATATGTTATATATGTCTATAAATTCATTCAAGTTGTATTCTTAAAACTGTGGATTTTCTTGTTATTCGAAATTTATATTCAGAATGAAGATATTGATAAAAGAAATAAAATGAATTTGATCAAGAACCTATCTACATGTATTACAAATTTGAAATCTCTAAGATACAAAAAATATTAAAAGTAATTTTATTTTTCATTTATTTTATGTTTGTGTATACCCTGTACCCCACAAATGGGCATATCCAAATTCAATTGATTATTATATTTTATATGCAAATATGGCTTTAACAGTCAAAACGATCAACAACAAAAAATCGATAATAATGCATTTAGTTTAGCGTATAGGGTATCTGCTAGCCGACTACTGTTGTGTTTAGCAATGCTATTGTTTTGTATTATTACTGTTGTTTCTGTCCTATGTTGTTGTTGCTGCTTGTCTCCGATTTGGTTTTTATTTTTTATTTTTTGTCTCCCGCGCATTCATTCAGGGACCGGCTTTTCTCGTTGCTGTTGTTATTGTTGTTGTTATTGTTGATGTTGCTGTTGTTTATTTATTGTATTTGCCGGCACAACAATTTCTTGCTTTATTGTTTATTGCTGCTGTTATTGTTGCTGTTGCTGTTGTTGTTGTTGTTGCATGTTGGCGCGACACATTAAAAGTGAAAACAATAGCAAAAACAAAAGCAAAAGCAAAGGCAGCCCCTGCATTAAATGAATTAAATAAACTTCTGGTGTGAAAATTATATACTCTGTGCCTGCTATGGGGCGTGCGTGGGCGTGGCACCCTCCCCATATGTATGTGTTGCCTCAATGCACATAAATATGTTTACGTTTGTTAACCCGGGTCGTGCACAGCCAACCAACCAACCAACCAACCAGCCAGCCAGCCAGCCAGCCACTCACTGCACTTGATTAGAAACGGCGACAAAATCCAATTGGATTCACGCTCTACCGAGACGACAACAATAACAATGGCGAGGAGGAGAGTGGCGGCAACAGATGAAACAGGTGAGGGGGAGGGAGGAAGGGACAGCTGCACGAGAGAATAAATTGTAATCACTTCGGCGTGAATCACTGACTGACTGACTGAATGAATGACGAATTTTCGCTGCTGTGGCGGCAATCAAGTTAAATGGGTTAACTCTGCTGACACCAAAAACAAAAACCACATCATCATTATTTTGATCAGCACCAAATTGTTCGACTGATTTTCCATATGACTTGAATTCATATATATATATATGTATATATATGTATGTACTTGAATACAAGAATAATAACCCATATAACTGTTGAGTTTGGTTCAGTTTTTCAAGCAAGGACTCATTGATTAATAACCTGAACGGAGACGGATGCCTCCAATGAATTTGATGTTTCTTGGTATGTTCAAATATTTATTATATAATTTTATAAGCATAAATTTTGACAAAAAAAAGAAGTAATAATTAAACATTTTTTATCTATGTTATATTAATATATACATATAAGAATATATATATATGTATGTATATATATATATATATATAGATATATGCATTTATTATATACACATTTATTAAGCGAAAAATTGTGTTTCAATTAATATAAGTAACTAAATAACGAGTTAAAATTATTGAATATAATTATATAAGATAGCATATGTATAATTTCTTTATATAATATAGTATGATTAAATATTGTGTATATTATTTAATAAATCAAGAAAAAAATAACATCGTTTGCCAAATCAAAAAAAAAAATAGTAAATGGTATTAAAAAAAAAATGAACAATTTCCAATAAAAAAATTGTTTTCTCAAGGTTATTTTTATATTTTTTTTTCATTGTTTGTTTTTTTTTGGGGGGGAGGGGGTATTTCATTGGTTTTTCAGTAATTTTAACAGCATTATATATATATATATATATATGTGTGTGTGTGTGTACAAATATGTGTATAAAAAAAATTGTAAAATAAAAATTTCTAAACATAAAAGTGTTTATGTGCACCAGATACTTGTTGCAGCTTTGTTTTTTTTTTTTTTTTTTTTTTAATATTTGCGAGGATTTAGAGGTTTTGGTTGTAGTTGTTGTATTTTTGTTATTTTGCGATTTTCACTTGGTTTTTTAAAAATAATAATAAAAAGAATTACATTTAAATAAAAGAAAGCAAACATTTGTTTACAATAATTTAAATTGTATTTTGCAACTGATTTGCATCGTTTGTCGTTGCTTTTATTTATATTATTTTTTTTTTGTATTTTTTTTTTTTGGGGCATATTTTGCTGTTTTTTTGTTTTTGTTTTGTTTGTGTGTTTTATTGTTGCAGATAAATTTGTACGGTTTTCAAATTGTATTTAAACTCTGTATTTGTATTTTATGTACTATAGGAAACAAGGTGCATTCGTATTTTTTGTTGGCTTTGTCTATATGTGTGTGTGTGTATGTATGTATATAATTCAATATGCATGTGTGAATTTGTTTATATTTGTGTGTGTTGTTGTTGTTGTACAATGTTATGCTTAGCTTAAGCCTATTGCTCTATGTGGCGTGTTCATCATAACCCGGATTTATTGGTTCTATTTTTATGTTTGTAATTTGGTTTTTCAACTGACTTCTTCCAGTGTAAAGGTAAGAAAATATGTCGTATTTTTTTCTTCTTCTTTTTGTGTTTCTTTTTTTTTGTAACTAGTATTTAACGAGATTTCTATGTACAGTGGTTAAACAACAAACAAAAAAAATAAGTTTTTTTTTTTAATTTGATTTACATTTTTTGTTTATGTGTAAAATTTTTTTGTTTGTTTTGAAGAAATTGCTTTAATTAGCAGTTTAAATAATATAACAATTTTTTGTTTGATTAATATTTTAATATCGCATTAAATAAAGTGTAAATATATATATAAATTATATATATATATATCTATATATGTTTATATAATATTAAAAAAAAATAATATATGTATTTGCATACAATATACAATTGTATAATGTATAATTTTTTTTTTTTTTTTTTTTTTTTTTTCTGGGGGAGAGAGTTGTTCTTATAAACTGTTTTATATATATTGCGGCAGCTTAAGTTTAATAAATGTAAATTTTGTTAATATTGTCTATTTACATGCGAGATAAATGTGCTTGCAAGCCTCGAGAAAATAAATGAAAATTGTCCCAGCAATTCTTGTACGACGCCAGCCAGCCCCCACAATTGCTTAGAATATAGGTTAGGAACCCAGATATATTTATAAATGTATTTATGTGAGTATATATATAAAAATGTACAATCAAAATATAAAATATTAGTACAATTTTGTAGAAATTATGTGTACTAAAAAAGTTCTGCCCATAGCAAAATAAAAGAAAAAAAGAGAAAAAAAAAACAAGATAAATAAAGCTAATTATTTACTCACTAATTTCTCTTAAACGTCGCTATAAATTGTATCATATCATATATGTATATGTATATTTATTTAGTATATATTTAGTTGTACTAGCTTTCTAATAGTATCCAAGTTAATTAGTGTGTGTGTGTGTGTGTGTTTTTCTCGTTGTTGTTGTGGTTGTCATCGTTTATCAAAAAGCCAACTAAACCTAAATAACATTTTTCGTATCAAGTAGTTTTTCTTTCTTCTTCTTCAGCTTCTTCTATTTTTTTAATCCATTTTTCACTCGATTTTTGTTTATTTGTTTTTGTAATTTGATTCGACTTCATTGTTAGTATTGGAAAAACGAAATTTGTTTCGCTCCTAACTAAATCAAACATTCTAATAGTATGTATATGTGTATTGTAAATATTGTATTGTATATATAAATATTTATATATAACAGTAACTCACGGTTTCCATTCTTTTCATTCATATATACATACTTCTATATATATATATATATATATACAAATATATATATGTATACATATATATATATATATATCTTATTAGCAAAAATCGACAGTTGAACAGCTGGCAAAATTAGCAGCCAAAAATTTATTTCTTTTCTTCTTTTTTCCAGTTTTTTTTTCGGGTTTTTCTTATTTGTTTGTGTAAATGTATTTGTGTATTTCTAACAATAATAATCTATAGCTCCTATCATCGTTGTGGTTCTATTTTTAATAGTGTTCGTTTTTTCATCATCATCATCATCATCATCTTCCTTGCTTTCAATTTCGAATTTGCGCATTTCATATGCATAGTTAAAAATTTGTTAAAGATGTGTCCTAAGCATTAGTATATAGTTATTTATATGAATTAGAGTATAGCAATTGCTGCATTTAGAAGAAAAAAACAGGAAGGACCAAATGAAAAATATTATTTCAATGGATCAATTCATGTCGAAATGATATATAGACGGGAAAAAGCATTGAATAAACCCCGTATTGTAGTATTTTCTATATAGGCAGTAAAAGTTGTTTAAGCGTTGACTTTTAATTTTTATTTTTTTTTGTTTTTTTTTTTTGTCGCATTTGTTGGGAAAGCTAAGCTATACACATTGCACCGATATTGCATCGATAAAATTGCGTGTTATCGATTTTAAGAAATAATCGGCGAATTTGTATCGTTCTTATTAAGGCGTCATTGTTGTCGTCGTTCTGCTATCTAAGTAAGGATGAGTACCGTACAGAAAAGAACTAAACATACGCAATTATCAACTATAACCGACTATATAAATGTATGTATAATTTAATGTTCAGCTGATCAGCTTAGCTATGTAGTAAGATACATAGAAGATCGTTACCAACACAAAATATAATAACCTATACAGCTAATTGTATAAAAAATTGTTATATATATATATATATATATATGCACATATGCATATTTGTATACATCCGAACACGTCTAGGCAAATCTCGGCAAAAGTTTCTTTGAAATCTTCACTGAGAAAACCGAGTTAGCCGAAAAGAACTAGAAACGTGACACAACAAGTTGTTATCTAACTATAGATATATATATCTATATATATGTTTAAATAGATATATTTATGTATAAGGGATAGTAACTTTGTATTACTACTGATAATATATAGTTATAAATTGTTGTTTTGTTTTGTTTTGTTTACTTCTTTGTAGATTTGCATTTCATTTGCTCTCATTTTGGCGCTGCTTCAAAATTTGCGCTCATTTCTCTTCTTCTTCTGACTCTTCTACTGTTGACTCTTCTTCTATCTCACTCTCTCTCTCTCCCTCCGTCTACGTCGCTTAACTGACTTTTAGCGAGGACGTGCTCTCTAATGCCCATGCCATGCTGAGAGAATGCTCTCTCTCTCTCTCTCTCACCTCCACTCTTTCTCTATGTTTCGCGCAGCTTTTGCGTGCTTTTGTTTTTCTTTCGTTATTGTTGGTTTTGTTTACTTTTTAGTGGCTCATTCGTTGCAACTTTGTCTGTTTTCCGTATCCGCTTTTCATGTTTTTGTAGTGTGTTTTTTGTTTCTTCATTTGTGTTTGGTTCTTGTCCTGGTTTTTTTTTGTTTTGTTTTGTTTTTGTTATTCATTTCATGGTTAAGTATAAGTGTATATATCTAAGCATAAGTATATATGTATATATGTTCAACCAAATATAGGGAAAAACTAAAGCATATATATATATCTGCCAAGCGTTTCTCTCTAATTCTACGTTCGTTATCAACATTTCCTTTATAGTTTTGCTTCCAACTTGCATTTTGCTTTCTTCAAAATCAAATAAAAAATATCACATTAAAGAAATCCAATTTAAATCACTATTTTACAATTATATAGAGCAGTAGCATCTAAGCCTAGGCCGAAAGCTACAAAAAATGAACTATATAATATATACATATATATAGATACATTTGTATCTTGTAGTATATATATATATTGCTTAACTATTCCATCCCGCGATCGTTCGTTCAAAAAAAAAAAAAAAAAGTACAATCATCATCATTCTTATCGTTATTATTAATGTTATTATCATCATCATGATGATGATCATCATTATCAACGATACCTGGTCGTTCGTATGCTCTAATGGCTAATACTAAAAACTGATATTGAAGTTCAAAAAGTGCTTATGTGAGCCTATGTCAAAAAAAATACACAACAAAAAAAAAATATATAATAATAATAAATAAACAACATTTTCCTCATGTCGTCATCAATTTTGTTTTTGTTTTTGTTTTCCTTTTCATTTTCTTTTGCTTTTGCTTTTGTCAAATCGAATCGAATCGAATCGATTTTGCTCGAGACTTGCAAGCGTGTTTTATCCAAAAGCTGCACACACACACTCTCCTCTCTCCCCCTCTCTCCCTCCCTCTCTCTTATTTATTTCCTTTGTGTCTTGGCCCCCCTGTCCCCCCACCGGCTTACCCACTTACGGATGCTATCATCATTCGATGGCGTTGGCAGCATTCGTGCTCTGACGCAGACGCGCCAGCCGCTCCTGCTGCTGCTTGAGCTTGGCCTTCAACTGTTGACGCTTGAGCATGAGGCTGTGATCCTCGCTGGTTAGATGCTCGCACAATTTGGCCGCCTCACGCAATATATTGACCTTGGGGGCACGCTCCTTGTCCCGTATATTCGGTATCTGCTTCTTCAGTGCCTCGAACAGATTCTTGAGTCCGATGCGACGCTGACGCTCCATATCGTTATGCAGATTACGCTTCTCAATCGTATCCACCTCATCCAGACTAAGCTGACGATTTAATGCGCTGCTGCTGCTGCTGCTGCTGCCGTTGTTATAGTTGTTGCTACTGCTGCTGCTGCCAATGTTACTGGTGCTGTTGCTGCTGCCGTTGCTAATAGTGCTGCTGCTGATAGCGCCGCTGTTGCTGTTGCCACTGCTGCTGCTATTGCTGCTGCTGCAGTTGTTGCCAACGGGAATTCGTGGCTTCAAATAGATATCTTCCATCAGTTCGCCGCTGCTCAGCGGATAAGCCGAGTTCACCTTCTTTACGCGACTCTTCTTGGCCGCCGCCAAGCTGTACGACGACGACGATGACTTGATGCCCTTGGTGGAGGAATAGACACGACCCGATGACCACAACGAAGTCGCTGCACAATCGTTCATGTAATAGCGCTTGCGGCTCTTGCCCATGCCATCGACGGCCATCATTGCTGCTGGTGAATTGCACTCGCTACTACTGCAACTGCTGCTGCTGCTGCTGTTCTGCGATAGGCTGTCCGGTGAGTAGGAAGCGGAAGCTGCGACGGCGACATCAGAGCGCTGATAGGGCGTGCTGGACGGCGACGGGTAGCGCGAATTGACAACGGATTTAACGGGACTGTTGCTGGCCGGCGTATAGGGTAAATCGTATTTGGCGATTCTCGATTTCTGTGGGTCGCGTGCACCGTTCGAGATTTTGTTGGCGACCTTCGTTTGCAGAACGCGACGATCACGATCCGATGGATTTGTGGGTAGCTTCTTGTCATTGAGTGAGACAACATCGATTTCCTCATCTGTAGACGACAGCAACAACGATGTGATAGAATCGATAAAGAGACAGAGAGAGTGTTAATTAGTAACGAGTATCGAGTATATATATATATATATATATATATATATATATAGATAACAATGGTTATATAACGTGTAGCAAAAAGTAACGCGTAGGAGTAGTTGCTTAAGGAGTGACGAATAACAAGCAAAGGGCGACGAGTGACGAGTAATAAGCAACGAGTGACGAGTAATGCTAAACGAGTGTGTTGAGCCACCATATGAATTAAGCATTCGTCATCTATCCATTGGCAGACATATATGAAGAACCACACACAGTAACGTGTGACAACCAACGAGTAAATATTAACGACTGAAGAGTCCCAGACTAACAACGATCAAGAACCACACATCGGTAAAAAGTGACGAGTAATAAGTGACGAGCAACGAGTAACGAGCAACGAGTAACGAGCAACGAGTAACAGGTGACGAGTAACGTGCGATGAATAGGTGTATTTGTGTAGATATGCATAGATTCTTTGTAGGTTTCAAGAAAGCCCTGCAAATGTCGCGACGAATGTCAACGACAGTTCAATGACTACACCACACAACCCAGAAACTTGATGATGTCATCGTTCTGGGAAGGGGGAGGATTGGCAGGTTGTGCCCTACGCAAAGCGGATTAGTGTGTCAACGTTGTGAGAGACAAGTGGCTTGACGCCACTCTTGCAGCACAGTATCAAAATTCAGGAAGCAATAGATTTGCCGTCACACAGACAGTGAACAAACACACACAACAAACCACCCAAAAACCCAACCCCAAACTACAATGCAGGCAACCTTAGACAGTCTATTGACGTCGAGTAGAATATGCGCCAACCTGTGGGTGGTTGTTGGGTGGGTGACACCCACTCACCCCGTGGGCGTAGATCGGTGATAACGTTCATATGCGCAGTCAACTTTTTTTAAGGTTTTATTATTATTTTTTTCTAGAAAGTGAACGCAGTTAACATTTGCTCTGCTGCAAGCTCTCTCTCTCTCTCTCTCTCTTTCTCTGTGTGTGTTCCGCCCCAACCCGCCTCCCTGCCTACCGCGAAATGGATTTCCAGCTTCCGTTGTTAATTTGGCGCTTCCGTTGGCGCGCGCGTCCATTGAACCAAAGCAAGCCAAGCAAAGCGACGCGATGCGACGCGACGCGCAACAAGCGGCAAGCAGCAAGCAAGCCAGCCGCAGCTGTTGCAATCAAATGTTGGCCGAGCCCCACTCTTGAAAGCTTCTCTTAATCAAATTACAGCAACGAAAAAACCCCCAAAAAAAAAAAAAAACAAATAAGAAATTTATGCGACGCAGCTCTTATCACAGTAGGCGGTAAGTTGTTACGCCCCCCAAACCTCTCCCGCTCAACAAAACGCGGTCGCCTCACCAAGCGAACAAATATTTGCACAAATGTTGATTATATCTATATCTATATATATATGTATTATATATATATCTATATACATGTATTATATATATATCTATATATGTGTGTGTGCCCTTTCGCGCCTTGACAACAACTGTACAAACTAGAAAGAAACACAGACAAAGAGTATGTGTGTGTGTGTGTGTGTGTGTGAGAGAGAGAGATAGAGAGAGCATAAGCTTATTACTCCACTCAGCTTCCGTTCTTCCGTTTTTGCAAATGACATTAGATTAAATAAATAATTGGTACATTTGTAGCTATGTTCAAGTGCAAGTTGCACGTTGCAAGTGGCAAGTGCAGCAGAGCGAGCGACCGCAAATGAGCCTAATCGAAACCTAACACAGAAAGTGCAACAAGAAGCAAGAAGCAACACCGAAGACAGCAAGAGAAGAAGTGGGAGAAGCGAGAAGGGGCAATCAGCCAAGCGTTGCCATAGTGTGCTGTGTGGCAACCACCTTTGGCAACATGTTGCATGCCCCACCAACAATGGGAAGCATCTTAATGATAATGATGAACATCATTAAACTGTTGGCCGGGCTAGACAAGCAGCAGACCGATCGACCTTATCCAAGGAGACCGCAGCAAGAATCTTGTTGGTTTTCTTACCCAACGGCCATTTTTTATTATTATTTTGCATCATTTGTTTTTGCAGCAGCAGCAGCAGCAGCAGCAGCATCTGTGTTGGAATGCGGCGGTTGGCAGCAGCAATGTCGCTCATCATCATCATGTTGCTGTGACACAGCACAAAATGTTGCAGTGAACTTTTTGTCGGTCAAATGGAAATGGAGAATGATATTGATATTGAGAAACAGAGAGAAAGAGAGGAACGGATAGAGAGAGCGAGTGCCGATGCCCAGCAGCAAACTTCATCATTACCGAATGCATTCTGCATTCATTCATTAACTGGTATTCATTCCAAGTTGTCGGGCAAGTCACGTCTTTAGCTTTGCAAAAGATTCATCATCAAAAGTTGCGCCAATATTTCTTATTTATATTGGTTTCTTATCTGTTTTACTATCCCTTTCAAGTTTGGACAGACGGAGTTGTAGTGTTTTTCTTTATTGCTTTAAATATATTTATGTTTATATTTACAATTGTAAACATTTAATATTTTGGATATATATATATATATATATATATATATACAACATTCAGCAGGTAGTGCTTACTTTACAACGCCAAACAAATTATATATTATGAATCAAATTCGCATTGGGTTCTATTCTGCTGCCGGGTGAGGTGATTTGTGTGATTTGCATTTTAATTGATCGCGGTTACAAGCAAAAAGTAAACTGTGTTTTTCCTCAACAACAACAACAATAACAAATGGTGGCTGCCTCATAAACATTCCAAGCGTTGCGCAAATCGATCTAAAGAATGCAAATTGTTCACAACTGACAGAGGACCCGGGGGATTTCCTCGAAATTAATTGCAGTTTGTGCAGCACAAAAACAAAACAGGAACAACAAAAAAATATAATTTTAACAGACAGCTAAGAGATGGCAGGGGTAGGGGAGGGTTGAAGGAGGGATGCATATGTGCACCTCTACCAGTAGCTAACTGTATGGATAAATGGTGGGGGGTTGCAGTTGACGCTAACAGAAGAAACAACAACAAAAAAGAAACCAGACAAACTCGTTTGCTGCTGCAGCACAAAAAGCTTGGCAACTATTGTTGCTAAGCGCGCCAAGATCAAATCAACAACAACAACTACTAAAATAGTAATAATAATCATAATAATGATAATAAGAATAAGAGTAATAATATAGTAATAAAGAGCATCAGGCAAAGAGGAAACAGTTTGTTGTTGTTTTGTTGTACGTTAATTACAATTGCAAATAAAAGGCAACAACACACACACAGACACAAGCATACGAGCCATACGAGCACAACTTAATAAGTTGCGCAACTTTTATGTGCAGCTAGCTAGACTGTGGGCGGCAAGCAAAGAAAAATGAGAGAAAGACAAGAAGAACAAGCAGTGAGTGCAATATATATATATATATATATCTATATACACACGCGTATTGACTGCATGCTGCCCTATAAAAATTTGCGTATTGAGTTTAATTGAAAAACGAAAAACACAAAAAGGGAGAGACGAAACAAGACAAACATGCAGACACACGCACAGACATATAGGCTGGCAGGATATAGCATAAAACGGACAGCGCAAATGACAACAACAAGTGCATTGCTCAATTTACTACTGTAATAAGAGAGAGACAGACAGAGGAGAGAGTGAGGTGCACTCACTCAATCATTCTCCCACCCTCTCCCACTTGATGGGAAATTAATATGACAGACGTAAATGTTTATAGTAGCTCAGCAGCAGCGGACGGCAACGACGTCATTGCCGCCCTCGACTCAACAACTTGATAAAACAAGAGATAAAAAGAAATAATCGCGGCATATGCATCTCTCACTCTCTCACACTCACACACAGGCATACACACACAGAGATACTGATGCTTTTTAAATTCAGCAATGTAAACAGAAGAAGAACAGAAGAAATGCGCAAAACGCGCGCACAGCAAACGAAATTGAAATTTGAATACAAGTAAAAATGGCATATGATGTAATATTCGGCATGAGGAATTTCGAGACCATAAAAGACACTCACTCACTCATTCCTCGCCCGCTCGCACAGTGGTAACTAGGCGTCTGTGTTTTTATTACAATTTCAAGCCCACTGTGCAAGCAAAAGTCGTAAAAGAAAAGCCAAAAAAAAAGGCGAAACATCAAATGAAATAAATAACAAAACACACGCGAAGAAGCAGCTCGCGACAATTTAAACTACGCCCACGCGTTGTGTTGTGTTTATTGTTGTTGTTGTTGCTGTAAATTGTTTAATAACATTTGTCATTATCTTAGGTTTCGTATCTCAGAATTCCAATTTGACAATATCAACACCAAAACGGGATACACACAAAAAACAGAGGAAGAAGCATTTTTGTGTCTTAGATGAAAAAAAAAACAAGGAACACTGAGACTGAGAATGGCACGGAACGGAGCGGAACGGAACGAAACGACGACAGCAGACACAATACAATGATTCCATTGCATTTCATTTCAATTCCAATACAGTTAATTTCCTGTTTTTGCTGAGCTTTTACATGAATTTTATATGCACATTTGTACATATTTATATATATATATATATATATATGAGTATTTCTTTGTTTATCTTCTCAATATTCACATGTGATAATTATTTGTTTTGTATTATACGAGTTCCGCGAAATTTGGAATATTCTTAGAAATTTAGCATGACGACAGCAACTCGCATTCGCATTATCATCTGTATTTATACTTTGCATTTGCATTTACAATTCGTTATTTGTTATGTGATATTTGTTATTTGGTAGACACTGTACACAGTGCTGGCTAAACTGCGTTCCCACGCTCGCAGCACTGAAATCAAAGTAAATTGCACACAAAAACGAAAAGAAGAAGCATAAGAAGTCAAAGTCGAAGAAAAAGAAGAAACAGACGTAAAAGAGTAACATGTATTTCGTCGTCAACATGTGTTGGCAACATGTCGCAGCAGCAGCATAACCAATAATCACAGTTGCTCTAGGACAACAATAAAAAATTACAACTTTTTGTGGTTTTGCAAAACACAAAATAAAATAACAAATCGCATTGCAAATGAGCAAAACAAAGAGTCGCTTCCGCTGCTGCTAGCTGGCAACATTCCCACGCGACACCAATTGCAACTCGTTGTTGTTGTTGCGTTTCGCTTGGCTACAAGTGCCAGGCGCAGCTTTTGTGTGTGCAACTTGTTGCCGCAACAATTGTGTAATTTGATTCGGCGTCTCTTTACTACCCCTCTCCTCCCCCGCCTAACCTACCACTACCACTGGAATGACTCATACTTGAACCTAACCCTTTTTCAAAAGATAAATGTCACCAAAATAAAAAATATATATAGTAAAAAAAGCTCGCTGATAAAAAAGCGCAATTACAATAAAAATGTCGTTAAGAGATGGTAGACAAAGAAAGAGGGGGGGAGGCACTGGCAATGGCGCAATGCGCCAATCGTCTAATGCTTCACACACACACAGATGCAACACAGCATAAATTATGAAAACAGCAAAGGCAATAAAATGCGTCTGGCAACATTTTGGGTGGAGTTCGACAACAAAAAACATTCTTTTTATTTTGAGCGTGCAGCAGCAACCTTCCTAAACCTTGGCAACATTCTGTCACGCAAATATACATACAAATGTACCCTTATTATATACATGTACGTATGTATATATGTATATATGTATGCATGTGTTATGTGTACGATGCGACGGCGCCGCTTAAGGCAACAACAAAAGCTTTCAAAACCAAAAAGAGAGGCTCGTTGGCGTCGACGTCGCCAACATTACCAAAAAAAAAAAAATTATAATAATAATAATAAAACAAGACAAACCAATTATCCTTGGTTTGACGAAGATGAAATACCCTTTTAGACTTGCTAGTGGAAGACGTGTGAATTATTTATAATTTCTTCATTTAATGTAATATATAGTATATATTTAAATGAGATTTGGCCAATATTTTTTATATTTTATTAAGATGGAAGTCAAATTTTGCAAACCTTATTACAAATTATAATGCCTTCCGTAAGTGTATAATAATAATAAAAGTAGCACGCACAACGAGAATGGAGAGGATAGAGGAGCGACCTTGAGCATAACAATTTATTGCTTCACGTGTGCGAATGAGCAACACACACAATGAGCGCGAGAGCGGGACAGACGACGAGAGCACAGGAAGGCGACCGGCAGAGTAAGAGTGTGTGAGAAAGACGACACGCATACGCACGCAAATACGCGCCTAGCAACAGCGAGCAACATAAGAGGCATACGCAAAAAATATACATACATACATAAGTATATATATATATATATGTATACGTGTGTATATGTAGATAATATTGTTAGACGTCATCATCACACAGCCTTTGGACCATTGTTAGAGCTTTTGCGTCTGTAGTTGGGTGGCGTTTTTTTTGTTGTTTTTTTTTTGGGGTTGGGCAAAATTTTGTAACTTGGCGCTAAACGTTAACATATAGAGCCAGACGCATAAATTAGCGTACTGAAAGTAAAAGCAAAGCAAACACAGCACAAATGCAAAAAAGGAAAGAAAATATTGTACAACATATTTGGTTTTCTTTTCTTTCCTTTTTTTAATACATATTTACATTTGTAAGTATAAACATATGTATTTAGGTATCTGCCCACAGCAACACACGCACCGTCGCACTATTTTTGGTTAGTTTTATTTAATTGGTAGCTCAAACCAACAGCAACAATAACAACAGCGAGAACAGAACACTCAAAAAGCTCTGCTCATAAACATTCGCAACGTTCCAGTGTTTTTTTTTGTTTCTACGCACATTTTTATGATTTGTCGACCTTCGTTCAGTTCATTAACATTTCCATTTCCATTTTTTTTTTCCAATTGGATTCAGTAACAAAAATAACGCATACGCCACGCAGAAGGCAGTAGGCAGTAACGTAACGTAAACAGTGTATCGGTTAGTTGTCGTTATTCTGTTCTTCTAAGCATACAAGAAAAGGTGCGAAAACTACAAAAACAAAAAGAACACAAAAAAGAGGCGCCAACAAATGCCAAACACAGCTGGTGGGGCTCTGCTGAGCAGGCCACGGAAGAGGAGGCGATCATCTGTACATATGTATTTATTTATATATACACACATGCATAGGTATGTGTAAATTGTGATTGAAAAAACTAACAAGAGCTCTCATACTGTTAACTGTTACAATTTAACTCTGTTCGAATCGATCTCTCCTTCTCCCTTTCTCTTTCACCTGACGATCGCATCTGTTACACGCCTAATAAATCGTCACGAGCAACCATGCACACTTACACACACTCACGCACGCACACACATAGCGACAAGCTGCCCAACAACTGCCACCAAAAATTCACGTAGCGTTTTTTTTTATCGTCTCACGCGCTCTTTTTTTGACAGTCACATTCGTTCAATCACACATATATCAAAAAAATTATTATGTGGGCGTTTTTCGCTAATAGTGGAACACACACACACATATATGTATATATGCATATAGTGAGGGGGAAATAGAGAAATGAGCGCGCCTAGTAACAAGGCAACACCCAAAAAAAATCGTATAACAGCTACTGGTGACTCCGATTGCAAAGCAGCATCAGCAATCAGCACAACACGAAGAACAAGAACATAAGCCGCCAGCAGTTTGGAATTCTGCATGCCGCACATTGATTTACACTCAAATGAAAATATCAAATTGAGAATAATAATAAAACTGAACCAAAAAAACACTTTAATTCGAGCAACATGATTTGTCCCGTTTTCAGTCAAGTATTATTAACCGTTAACTTCTGTTTCGTTTCGATGTCTTCATTCGATATTCCGCACATTGCACATTTTGTGTGACAAAATTAAAAGTCTCTGCTGCTGCTGCGCCAGCGTTGTTTCGAGTGTGAGTGCACTCGGCACACAGCTAGCCAACTGGCCAGCGAATGAGTGAGCGAGTAAGCGAGAGAGAGAGAGAGACGGAGTGAATAAAAGACATACCTGTACAATTTTTGCCGGCAGCGTTGACGTCGAGACGTCGCCACTTCGACAATCTGAGTGCATGTTTTGTTTTCGTTTTTTATAGAGCGCGCAGAAAGAGGTAACAATAATAACAATAACAATAATAATAACAATAATATTGGGACACACACCCACACACGCAGAAGATATGAACAGCAATAAGGAAAGAGATCCACGCCAACCAATGAACATGCGTTTGTGTGAATGTGCATGTGTGCGTGGGTGTATGCATACGTGTGCAAGTGTATGCAGCTTGTGAATGAAATAGCAACGATAGACGTAAAAGCTTCACGCGCCCAATTGCATTTGTGTTTGTGTGTAAGAGTGCAAATATTAGTAGTAGTCGTAGTAGTAGTAGTGGTAGTGGTAGTAGTAGTAGTAGTAATAGTAGTAATAGTAAAGCAGCAAAGTGTAGAGTACCTAAATGCGAGGGTCGCTCAAAATGTTTCGTTCTTTAATAATAGTTTTTTTTTCCCGTTTTTTTTTTTTTTGCACCATCAGCGACAGCAACAACGCCATTAGCAACAAGACATTGAACCCAAAAACTAAAACCTACACAGACAAAGGCACGGGGTGGAGAAGGGGCGTGTGGTTTGGATAAGTTGCGCTGACGCCGCCGACGCCAAAAACAAAAAAAATGCCGGCATGAGCGCAGACATCCTTGAAAAATGTGGTGTGACTGCGACAACAGCGAGAGGGAGCAAGAGAGATAGAAAGAGAAGAAAGTTCGAGAAAAACGTTTTGTATTTTTTTTTTATATATGCATGTATATTTTTTGGGCGTAGCACAAACTGCGCAAGACGGCGCTTGGGGATGCTTTGGACAAGTGAGAAGTGCAAAGAGAGGATGACGCCATAAGGTCGGCCAAACAATATATATATATATATATATATATAGTCACAGAGTGTCTATATGCAGAGAATGAGAGAACACATAATGAGCCATGAAAGCCACGTGCCAACATTCGAGCGGAAGAAAGGGAGGAGGTGGGTGGTGGGGGATTGGTTGCTTGTGGCGCATTGCAATGCGTAGGCAACAAGGCGCCAAACGAAATGTCGAGGAGGTAGGAGAAGGGGTGTGAGGAGGGTTGATTTGGAAAATCAATGAAAGCTTTTCACCCACAGAACAAACATCGCAACTCTCGCCGGGCAGCAGCAAACAGCAAGCAGCATGTGGGCGGCGCAGCAAAAAAAAAAAAAAGTTTACTACGTTTGCTGTTGACGTAGGCGATCGATTTTTTAGGCGCGTCATCGCCGTACGCACACCCACCGTGCTAGCAGCAGCAGCAGCCATCGCAGGCCAACACACTAGTTGAATGTGTGTCTCAGCATGCAAAAGGCTGAAGAAGTTAGTCGGTGGATGTGGAGTGGGGGGTTGGGGGGGGGGGAATGAGAAAGAGGATGGACGGATGAGGTGAGAATGCACATTTGGTGGGCGCGCAGCAATTGGAGGGGTGGGGGTGGGTAGTAATACTCAATTAACATTGTGAGAGTGGAAGACAGAGGTGGAGGAGTGTAGAAAATAGTATAACAAAAAGTGAACAAGAACCAAATTTGAGAGTAGAACAGCAATTCTAGAAGAATAGAGGACAGGGAAGAGGTGTAAAGAGAAATCGTAAAAAAAAATTTAAAACCACAACATGAATTGAATATAACAGGTATTTTGTAGAGTAGTAGCAATATTATGTATAACAGTCGTTGCACATATAAGAGCAGAGTGTATTTATTGTTGGCGTACTCACCGGAATCGGAGGGCGTCTCCAGATTGGTTTCCATTTCGTTGCAGCGCGTATAGCTGTGATCGCTGATGTGACGCATGTAGAGACCGCCGCCGCTGTTGTTGCCATCGAGGAGAGACGCCGTCGTTGAATCGCCCAGCGAGCACTCGCCATCATCCGAATCACAATCGGAACTGGTCGCCGTCGTTGCTGGCGGTGACAAACTGGCCACAGCAGCCGATACATCAACACTGGCCGCCAGTCGGGAAACAGCTGCTGAAGATTGTTGTTGTTGTTGCAATTGCTGCTGCTGTTGTTGTTGTTGTTGTTTGTGTTGATCGCTGAGGACCACTTCGAGGACATCGCTGATCTGAGTGTTTTCGACGCGATAAGGGAGATCGATGCGCTCCTTGCTGGTATTCTGCAGTTCGCGACTCAAATGATCAATATAGTTGGCATCGGCACAGCTCGTCAGCGATATATTGTTGCTGCCCATGACGCAGGCACGCAAGTCGACATTGTGTCGAAACTCGGACATTTCAAAGTCACACATGCCACTTACCGCATTGAAACGCATTTGTAGCAGATTCTGATTCTGCTGCTGTTGTTGCTGCTGTTGTCTTTGCTGTGTGTTGCTTTTGCGCAAGAGCGAACCGCCTGGCGGTATATAGGGCTCCACAATATGCATTTTACTATCGCAACGCTGCTGCTGCTGCTGTTGCAAGTTGCGTCCAGGTATTGAAATTGTTGCTGTTGCTGTTCTTGTTGCTGCTGCTGCTGCAGCACCGCGGACAGTTGACCGGCAACTGTTGCTGCTGCTTAGCTTGTTATGCCTGCTGTTACTATTACTATTGATACTGCTGTTGCAACTGCTATTGTTGCTGCTGCTGCTGTTGTTGTCGTGCTCATCATCATCGTGCTCATCGTGATCGTCGTGCTCATCGAGTGGCTCACGTTTACTCAACAAAGTGCTGCCAGTGACAATGGCTGGTGGCACAGCGCTACTTTCGCTGTAGCTGGATGCAGCCGAATTGGTGTTGTCCCCATTTGTGTTTATGAGGTTGGCCATATTGTTGGAGAAAGCGGACCACATGCAGTCGCCGTTGCGTATCTCGGGCTTAATGTCCATGTCATTGGACAAATCATCGGGATTGGAAATGCTTATCCAACGCGCCTGATCCGCATCTACTATTTTAGCAATATCGTTCTGTATGCTGGATACGCCCAGGAGGCCGTCTATGTCGAGAATTTCAGTGAACTCTATATCGTCAAACGGTTGACAATACGCAACATCGTAGTCGTAGTCGCAACTCGTCAGGATTCCTATACCATTGCAAACAGTCGTCATTTTGATTGAGTTTACTTTTTATTCTTGTTCCTCAAAAGTGTTGATTACTAGTTGATGTTGTTGCTGCTGCTGTGGTAGCACAGAAGAGGTAGTTTGAGGCTGCAAAGGCGAACCAAATCAAAAATTCAATGAAACACTACGCGTTAGAGTTAATATCAATTAAATGTAATTCGAGTTCTAAAAATATTTCAATATTGAAATAAAAATAATATTTACTTAATAAAAATACTATGTAAATTAATTATTTCATTTGAGTTATAAAAGTATTTTAATATTAATATGCAAATAATATATATCCACTTTTCATTTAATTTTTTAATGATCTTATTTTTATTATTTTAATACTTTTATATTAATATTTTTTTTTTTATATCCGTGGGCAGATTTTTTTTTTATTTTATTATGACCTCATTCTTATCATTTCGATCTAATTTTACTTCCATATATATATATATATATATATGTTGAAAAGATGTAAAAGATCAATACAACATTCTGATTACTAATGTTAATAACAGAAAATATCGATACTGCGCTCGATACCTTAACTTAATACATTGAATAAATCTTCTTAGTCTAACCGCCAAACCTAGTGCATCACTTTTTGCCGCTTTAAAAACCCAACAGGTTATGGGCCCAGGCATAAAAGAAAAAGTTGAATGAAACTAAGGCTATGCTGAAAAGCCGCGTTTAAGGTCGAGTGACATTTTTTCATTAGAATTGCATCATTTTGTATTGCTGTGCATTACCAACTAAAGTTTTCTGTGTGAGAACAAGTACGAGCGAAAAATGAGTGCGCTGTACAATATAGACAAGTTGGACGAAACAAATTATGATTCATGGTGTGTCCAAATGAAAAGTGTGCTAATTCACCAGGAGCTATGGTCCGTCACTTCGGGAGCTATGAAATGCCCAAGCTCAGACAAGACGAGTGTCGGTGGTTATCAAAAAACGAAAAGGCTTTAGCGGTGATTACTCTCTCAATAAGAGGTTCTGAGATTGGTCACATTAAGAAATGTGAATCGGCGTCGAGTGCGTGGATAACCTTAAAGGCAGTGCATCAGTCCACCGGTCCAGTGAGAAAAGTCACATTGTTCAAGAGATTACTCTTCATGCGGATGAACGAGAATGAGAACATGCAAATATATATTGCAAATTTTGTGAACACCGTGGAGCAGTTAACAGAAATTGGCATTGTGCGTGCTGCAAGAGGAAATATATGTTATTTTACTCTTGCCAGTTTACCTAAATCATATGAAAATTTGGTTGTAGCATTGGAATCACTTGATGAATTACCAAAGTTTAGTACTTTGAATGTTAAATTGATCGAAGAGTGTGATAGACGCAAGAACGAAGCGAAGAGAGTGTGAACGAAAATAATGCACATAGTGCAAAAAAGACAGACAAAGTAGGCAAGAACCGAAACAAAAAAATTAAATGTTACAATTGCGGTAAAATTGGCCACATTTCTGCAGAATGTAGGTCCAAGGCGAACGAAGGTCATGTAAAAGAAAAAGACGAAAAATCATTTTTCACGTTGCTAAGTGCAAAAAAGGGTGAACGATTGCTTGATAAGTCAGCGTGGCGCCACAGGTCATACAGTGTATGTCCGCAAATCAAAATATGTTTAATTCGTTTGAACAATTCACTGATACAGTCACACTTGCTGGTGAAAAATCACTAGAAGTAGTCGGACGAGGAGTCGTCATAATTAAAACGGAATCGTCAACAGTAAAACTTACAAACGTTCTTTATGTGCCACAATTACAATGCAACTTTATTTCGGTGAGCAGAGCAGTAAAAGGAGGCTGCACTATAAACTTTAAAAACAATCGTGCGTGTGTATGTGATGAAAACGGTAAAACCCAACAATATTTGTACGCCAATATCACCAAATTCGCTATTTATTTAACCCTTTATTTACGCGTTTATTACCACAGGTTCTAAATTTGAACACCCGGAAGTTCGATTTTTTTTTATTAGAAACGCCATATTTTACTTTTATATATGTATGTATATACATTTTTATATTTTTTACCAAGCACTTTAATATTTTAGTGCTTAAAAGTAATTAAATGAAATATAAATCTATATTAAGCAATTATTTCAAGAATTATAAATATTCATTCGATTAGAAATAAAATATTTACGTATAACAGTTACGACAGCTACTAAGAAGAAGTCGCCATTTTGAAAACAGCACGAAGCATAAAATAAGTATATGATTTTATTTGTTTTAATTTCACATTTCACCTCAGAACAGTTATCAGTTTGGTTCAGTTCAGCAAAGTTATCGGAGCAATGCACAATGATTTCAATTATAAATAAATTGTTCGATTTTTATTTGATTCCCCCGACATTTTAATGACTTGGCAACACACACGTATGCATTCTTTTTTTTTATCCCTTGTCTATTGTCACACACAATAACAGTAAGACTAATATAAAATATAAAAAAAAAATATATAAGAATATCGCTGATTTCTTTACATACAACGTTCTATCTATCTATCTCTCTTCATCCCTTTGGTGCGCTTGATCTATTTGAACGAAATTCTTTGGAATGCAAAGCGAAATTTTGGAGTGTCTGCTTTGTGCGCTCTTCTAAAACGTCGCGGAGGCACTTGCAACGGTAAATGACAATACACAAATGTGTCCGTTCGTTTGTCTATCGCGGCGAATCGCAAAGGAAAGCGAAAACGAAAAGTGCTACAAAGCGGAGAATCGTCGCGCGCGACTCTAACTTGTGTGCCTGCATCTGTGTGTCTATTGCCTATTTTTTCCTCTATTCTTTTTTTTTTTGATTGCTTGTTGCTTTTAATTGCAAACTGAGGCAAAAAGGCAGGCCGGCAAAAAAAAAACACAAATATACATGTATGTGTGGAACTTTGATTTGTAACTGGTATTTATTTGAATATATTGTTATTAATTTTCTTTTTTTGTTTTGCACTAATTAAACTTACCTTGACTGCGCTGTTTTTAATCCAATTTATTGCTGCTTCGTTTCTTTTATTTTTTTTATATATATTTTTTATCGTCGTCACAGAACAGCAAAAAAAATAAACATCGACGAAAAAAAAAATACAAATTCTAACAGAGCGTACAAAGATCAACTGTTAGCAGCAACGAACAAGGAGAGAAAAGACACCAAAATATTTGTATGGCGTTCTCAAGTAATTTTGGGCGTTTGAAAGCTTCTATTAACTATCGTCGTTGTCGTCGTTGTGTTGCTCGCATCAGCAAATTGCAAATGCATTAGCGGCATCTATTGCCATTTGCTTTTGCGATATTGTTCTTCTTCTGCTGCTCTCCTTTTCTTTTTGCACACATACACTTGCACATGCACATACTCACACACATACACAGAAAGAGAAGACAGGCAGACGTTCAAGGTCTACGATTGTCGACTGCAGACGTGTTAATGCTGTCGCTGTTGTTGTAGTACTAAATAGGGGTAATCTTAGTTGTAGTTATTATTTCTTATACTTCTTTCCAATTTCACATTCACTTTTTTTTTGCGATTTGTAAAAAAAAAAAAAATAATTACAAATCCTTTAGCGAATGTTTTGAAAATATAATATAGAATTCAACTTTTGTTGTCGCTAGTCCGTTTTACAAATTTGTATTATTTTCAAGATTTGCAATTTGTTTCCTTGTATTTTTGGTAATCTTTTGAAAATATATATATATATTTATATATACATACTTTTTTTTATTTCAGTTAGTCCATTAAGAATTTTTTATATATTATTTTTGTTTTTGTAATCTTTTGTTGTAGTTATATTTTTTTAATATTAGGACCTAGTTGTGTTTTTTTTATATTAGGGCCTAGTTAGGGTATTTGTTGTGTATCAGATTATGTCTTATTTATTTATTTAATATTTTTATTTTTTTTTTGTTGGGCGGGAAACAGCCAAAATCTACAAAGACGAAGAGCCAACTACGCGTCGCACGTTCAGCCTTGCCGAAGTCACAAATGAGAGTGCGCAGTGCTCGCGCAAATCGTGGCATTCATTTGCGTTTTCCAACCAAACAGCTAGCCCTGTTTGCGCACTCTTATCAGCTGCCGATTTCACTCTTTTGCTGTGGTGAGATGGTGAGGATAGAGCCGAGTGCTTTACATTGAGTTGAAATTGAAATTGTTAGTGTGAGCGGTGAAGTGCTGCTGTTTTTGGTGTTGGTGTTGTTGTTTTTGTTTTTGCTGCTGCGAGAAAGCAAACTGCAAATTGACAATAACTCAATATTGAATTTTATTACACAGCGTACCGAAAAGCTATTCGAGTAACTCACGTGTCACGCTCTCAGCTCAGCGCTCTCTGTTTATTTACCTTTGTTTTTGGACGCTGCCGGCCGGCCGGCGTCCGCTCGGCCAGTCCAACTTTGAGTCGATTCGCATGTTGAGCATGCTCTCTCTCTCTCTCTGTGTGTTTGTGTGTGTGTTTGTTTTGAGTGAAAATGGCAGAGTTTTGTTTACAAAACAAAATGCGTTTGCTTGCTATTATTATTGTTTTGTCGAATATAAACAATAACAATTAGGTTGGCAAAAAAAATGTGCATATACAAAATGCATTCCGCTATATTTCTGTACTCTATATGTACATATGTATGTATTTGTGTATTTATATAGATTAGGTGCTTATGGCACATTGCGTGCGTAACTATAATTTAAGCTGATATTAAGACACGACCCCCTCCCACCAGTCCCCACATTGCCAGCCGCCCACGAAAATGGCAATTCTATTTAACAGTTGGCAGCTCCAAAGTTGATTGAACTTTGCGACGACAAAAAGAAAGAAAACCGCAAAACACAACAACAGCAAAAGCAAAGCAGAAGTACAGAATAAAACTTAAAAAAAAAAAACCAAAATAAAAACGAAGGAAATAACTTTATTGAGGTAGGCTTCACACATACGTACATACATATGTATCTAGTTAGGCTAGACAAAAAAAAAAAGAAAAAAAAAAGGGATGTGTAGGAGTGCGATGTGGAATGATAGCTGAAGGAGAGTGGTGGGAGAGGAGAGAAGTGGAGAGGGGGGCATCGAACTCGTCTGCATATTGACAGGTAGGAAAGAGTATTCACCATTGTCCCATATCAAATTCCATCAACTGTTCTAGTTTCAAACAAGTGTGAATAACGAATGGGAGAGAAGGAGGAGGCGAGAAGAAGACCAACTAGCAGAAAGGGTGAAAAGCGTATTTACACCTTAATTGTAATTGCATATAAAATATACAAATTACAAAAATTAAATTACAATTGTGTGCATAATATTATACAAAATATAAAACTTAATAATATTCTGTTGTATTACTTATCAAAAAACAATCATCAAATAGCAAGGTGTCCCGGTAAAGTCATGTATGTATGTACATACATATGTACACGTATGTATGAATGAATAAATCTTGTAAATTTTATTTTGTTAGTCTTCAGAAGTTCACTTAATAGTTGAAAAATAAAAAAATAAGTAAAAGTCAATAATAAATCACTTTTTTGCAAAATAAGTCGGAAAATATAGATTTGTTCTTGTGTTCAAACACTTTATTGACTTTACTGTATGTACATACATATGTATGTATGTTGCCAAGGTTGCCAATGCTGAAAAATCCAAGCAAATTGTGCAAGTTTAATGACGCTTTTACAGCTATGCTCATAAAATGGGCGCAGCTATTGCCTACCATTAATTATCATTTATCCTTCCATTCTTAAGCTTGCTTGAATTGTTTGAATTTTATGTACAAATTTGTTGCATTTTGTGATTCAAGTTTTCTCGTTAAGATTTCCCACAAGACCTGTACGTTGATTGTTCGCACTCTAAATTATTGTACCGTTTGTACACACTTACACACACACACACATTCGATTTTATACATATACAAATGATTCTGGGTGTGTGCGACTTGCGTCGACTTTTCCGTTATTTGGTCAAATTCGCTTTCGCATTCGAGTTCGATTTTATGTCGATTTCGCGGAATTAGCATTTTGCACTTAAGACGCGTGCATTTTTTGCTGTTGTTGTAGTGTTGTTGTTTCTGTTCTTGTTCTTGTTTTTGGCTTCGTCTATGCCAATTCCTGATTCGCATATGTTACGTGCACACATATTTTTCTGTATTTTCATATGCCCGCAACACTCCTTAAAAAAAGAAAAGAAAAATGCAACAGAGCATCATCGACTTGTGAGACACAAAAAATATTTACGAACAGTTGAAATGGATCAACATTGACACCTTCATGAATAACAAACCCAAAAATATGAATTAACAATTATTACAAAAACTATGTAGAGGACTTCCGATTATATATGAATTACCACCTTTACATATACATACATATACTTCACGGGGTATTCCGCGGTGGCCACACTTGGAGTTGGATCACTACTTGGTTGATTTGTTTTGACTTCGTAAAGCAGGCGACGTCGACAAAATAACAGAATAAGGCTAGTACAGTGACAAAAAACAACAAAAACAAAACGCTTTCGTCAGGTTTTTATTTGTTTTTCTTTTGTGCACTTTCTGTATAGTTATACGTTTTGCTTTTTAGTTTTTTTTTCCTTCTTGGCGCTGCAGGCACTGCTACTGCGTTGCACTTTTATATACATATACATGTGTGTGTATGTACATACATATGCGTTTGTGCTGTTACTGTTGGCATTTTGTGCAATTATTTTACGCGTGTGTACAAATTTTTGCTCGTTCTGCTTGTTGTTGTTCTTGCGGCTTTGCCATTTGCCATTTTCAGAAAATGCGTTGCCACGAAAGCCAATTGCGTAAATAAAAGCAACAAGTGTTGGCCAATTCCGAAATGGCATCAAATAACGTAATATTAATGGGGGGTTTCTTCTTTTTTTTCTGGTTGCAAATGATTGTGCAATTTGTAACGGTGCATCGATAATATGCCGTTACAAATGTGCAAAATCCAAAAATCTGCCAGAGCTTTTCACACACACATACAAACAGCGAATGGCGGTAGACCAGCGAACTTTCTATCGCTTGCTCTCGGTCTTGCTGTGGGTGTGCTACTCCCACTCGTTGTGTTCCTGCATATTTAATAGCTTACACGTGTGACAACATTGTAATCGGGAATGCAGAGCTCGACCAGAGTGGGGGAGGGTGGGCTGCTCAGACATGCTGTTACAGTTTACAGTTGATAAGAAGGCGTCGCCGTCGTCGTTGTTGTTTTTGGCTGACAGGTAGTGCTGTAATTGCAATTTAAATGCGTCGCAACAACTGAGACTGAAATGAGTTGCCAATATACAAATATGCATATATACATACATATGTATGTATACATACAGCTGCGCTTTAGCCAATTGTCCAATTGTTGATAAGCGAAGAAATACTCAGCTATTTTCATGGCAACATTGTTGTTAACTGCGTCGTTTTGTCGTTTTTTCCGTAAAAAAAATCTTAAATGTTTCGGTATAGATTAACATACAGTGTCTCGCAGTTCAACTGGAACAGCGCCTAGCAAAAAAGTTAATTGCCTGCCATAAACAAATTATTCAATATTTTTCAAAAATTCCAAAGAACTATGGCAGGTACATATATTGACTACCTAAATGACTATATGACCCCCATAAACTGGGGTTTTCCCACCGGCTAGGTCGGGTTATGTAAAAAAGTACCTTAATTTGTGGTCACATATTATGTGGAACAATGGCGTTATGGACACCTGGGTGCCATAAAACCCAGATTTTTTACGTCAGGTTGATTATTTTTGGTATAAATAGACCAATCCTTCGTAGTCAGATTAGTTATATCCTGCATCTCGAGTGCAACCAGCCAACAAGGACTATGTGCAAGCGGACTACCATTGAACAACGGAAACTGATCCTGGAACACTTCAGGATTGGATATTCATATCGCCAAATAGCTAAAATGGTAAATCTGAGTACCACAACTGTATTCAATATCATTCGGCGCTTCGTCGACGAAAATCGGATAGAGGACAAGGGCAGAAAGGCACCACACAAGATTTTCACCGAACAGGAGGAGCGGAGGATCATCAGGAAAATAAGGGAAAATCCCAAGCTATCGGCTCCAAAACTGACTCAACAGGTGCAGGATGAAATGGGGAAAAAGTGCAGTGTGGAAACTGTGCGCCGGGTTCTGCGCAAACATGACTTTAATGCCCGAGTACCACGGAAGAAGCCCTTTATAAGCGCAAAAAATAAAGGGAATAGGATGACGTTCGCCAAAACCCACTTGGACAAGGATTTGGAGTTCTGGGACACAGTCATATTTGCAGATGAGTCCAAATTCAACATTTTTGGCTCGGACGGACGGAATTATGTGTGGCGACAGCCCAATACTGAGCTGAGTCCCAAAATCCTAAAGGCAACAGTCAAGCACGACGGAGGAAGTGTCATGGTATGGGCATCTATCTCGGAAGCCGGCGTCGGAAATTTGGTGTTTTTTGAAACAACAATGGAAAAGAGTGTGTATTTCAATATATTAAAGGAAAATTTACTCCAAAGTGCCGAGAAGCTAGGAATCCGGAGTACTTTCCAGATCTACCACGACAACGACCAGGACAACAACCAATAATAAGTCCGGATTAGTACGGTCTTGGCATATCTGGAACTGCCTCCACATGATAATTCCACAGGCCCAGTCTCCAGATTTAAATGTTATTTAAAATTTGTGGGCTCTGCTCGAAAATAACATCCGGAATCACAGATCCGATCTCAAGAATGCTCTGCTGGATGAGTGGAGCAAAATCAGTCCAGAAACGACCCGGAAGCTGGTACCTTCCATGAATAATAGGTTAAGGGACTTTATTAGGGGTAAAGGATATCATACTAAGTGTTAACATCCTTATTTAAGTTTTTATACGCCTAATATGTTACTTTTCCAAGACTGTTCCAAAAAAACTTTGACATGTATTTTGGATATGTTTTCAGTTTTTGACTAATTTCAGTTAATTATTTAATATTTTAATAAAAACTGAAGCTTCCTTTTCAAACGTGATATAACATAAAAC